TTTTTTTTTTGCCGATTTCTACAGTACACGACTGGTCCATTGTCTGACGGCTTGTACTGGGAACAATACTACAATGACCAGAATGTATCGAAAGAGGATCTTGGCTACATCTATTTTGAAAACAAAATCCTTGGGCGACCACGCTTCAGACAGCTACGAGTCAAGAATAATTCCTGTGTGTAAGTGAATGTTGATACCGTTTTCCCCTCAGTACCTTTGCAGTACATAAAAGGTTGTACAGGTTCCATAAATCTGAATTAGAAAATAACCTGGAGAAACAAATGCACCGATTGGTTTAAAATCATGTTTCTACTAAACAATTAGATTATGAGCTTGAGATTTCTATCAGGCATAGAAATCGAGAGCGAATAATCTAATTGTTTTAGTATAAATCTACTAGTCATTCAAAACTTTATCTAAATCCTCTTCACAGACACTTCGAAAACACCAAGAAGAGGCCGTCATTTTGTTAACAAGGGCACACTGCTACRCTACTGACTATCTATCACAGAATAGATAGTGAGTAGCATAGCCAATCAGAATGTGGCATTTGTGATAGAACACTCGATAGAAAGACAGAACTAGCATGAGCTGTTGACATAATGATAGCATGAGCAAAGAGAATTTACATTTTGATGATCAAAGCAAGTTTTTTTCTCTTTTTTTTTTTGTTTTGGACACTCGTGGGAGTTTGGGAGAACTTGAAAAAGCTGTGGAAACACTTTCCTGTTGGCTCATGTTCCCGCAAAATTTCCTTGTTCTCCCAAACTTGCACTGGTGTGTCTGTAGCTTGATAGAAACATGGAGCATGTTTTCAATTTTTTAAATAAAAGCATAGCACTTTTGCATTACAAATACCAGCAAGGGCAGTGATTTTAATTGTGTTAATGTTCTTTATTTCAGTGTACATGATGATTTCAAGAGCGTCATCCATGAATGCTATGCACCTTACTCTCCAGGCGCTCAAGATGAGGATCCATTTGGCTTAAAAAATGGCACTGCGTGAGTGAAAATCCATTCCATGTGAATAGAAATCATTCCTGAAATCATCAGGCATGCAGTAGAGATGTAATAAAATTAATATTGTACTAACCTTGTCTTCTTGGTCCATACTGTAAGTTACAGATCCTCATTGTTTTTCCCCTTCAATTTATGGCCTGCATGTTTGGCACTTAGGCCATAAATTGAAGGGGAAAAAAACTCAGTCTGTAACTTACAGTACAGACCTCAAACTCAGTTAGTAGAAGTATTTATTACCTAGCAATAAAGTCATAGAAAGAAGCTGTCATCTATTTATGGCACTTGGCTTTTGAATGTGAATTTCTCTTTTCACAAACTTTGAAGTAAAATCCATTGTTTTCTACCACAGCTGGACTTTCAAGACAGAGAAGGAGCTTGATGGCCGGTCACACTGGGGAAGAATTACATCATATGGTGGCGGTGGGTTTACAATGCTTCTAGAACCCAAAAAGGAGGAAACAAAGAAATTGATTGATGAGTTGAAGGTCAGTATGGCTTGCTCCATGAGCAGGCAAGATGAACCAAATCCTAGACTGTCATTGGCTACCCTAGCAGGCAAGATGGCAGTATCTTTCCTACCCAGGATAACCTGCTGTGTCCCAGATGATAATAGTGCTCTTTTTCCATATGATACATCCTTTGTTGACCAAGCTTGTTTGGTCCAGGTGGCAAGATGGCTAGATATTTGCACGTTCATGGACCTCGACTCATCTCAGTCCTTAAAAAAGAAAACACGCAACAAAAGAGAGAACTTGTTCAATATCCAGCCATCTTGACCACCTGCTTGGTCACCAATCCATATAATACAGCCCAGTCAGTGACAGATATAGCTAAGAAATAGCTTCAGATTGGTCTAAATGCAGTACAATCCTGCCTCCTTTGAAAATGTGGCAGTCACCTATCTAAAGTCACCTTGTTCAAACAGACACCACCCCAAAAGCAGAAAATGTAAGGTGGGGGACTTTCCTATAGGCATCTTCCTAAACAGACATCTCTCAAAGTGAGACATAGCTGTACACATCTCTGATCCAGACAGTCATGAATCCAAACAGTTGCTAATCCAGACAGTCACTAATGTAGAGACCTCAAGAACAGCCACCTCTCTAAAACAGACACTTCTCTCAGGCAGTTTCTTCTAAGGCAGGCAGTCAGGTTGCTTGGCTTACCAATAATGAAATACAGTGAAAACCCACATATAAGAACCTGGATTTTTCCAAGTTAGTTTTAACAGGTTTATATATATAAATGAATGACAGATCTAACTGGAGAATCTCAGCCTAACAAGCTCTTAAAATCCAGGTTCTTATACACAGGTTTTTTACTGTACAACTTCCTTGAAAAACAGTATTAAATATTGTTGAAATTCTTTTTCAGCAAAACTTGTGGTTAGACCGTGGAACAAGGGTTGTATTCATCGACTTCACAGTTTACAATGCCAACATCAACTTGTTCTGTATAATCAGGTAAGTCAGATCTTGGCATGTGTGTTTCAAGTCTAGATTCTTGTGGTTTATTTTTCAGGGTTTACTTGTAGACTCTCTTAACATCATCCAACTCCTGCTTCTCGTAATTGGAGGTGGTCTTAGTTTCTGGTATATCCAGGGGCCTCCACTTGCAGCCCGCCAAGCCCCAAACAGAATCATAAAACTTCTCCCATGGAGCCAATTGCCACAACCCAGCAGTGAGCCACCTTGCAAGATCATGTTAAAAAAAAAATTTCAATTGTTCTTGTTTATAGTG